AGGAGAAAAAAAGAGGTAAGGATTGAGATATGGTTTTTAAAATTTTTTTAAATTTTTTAGTTTTTTTAATTGGATGCAAATATTGAAAGTGTAAAAAGATATAATACAACAAGAAGTCTTCTTCCCACTCTGTCCTCTACCTGCGTAATTCCTAAACCTAACAGGTAACCAATGTCACAATTTTTTTATTCTTCTAAAGTTTCTTCTTATGCATTTACAAGCCAATATAAATTTTTCCTTTTTTCTTCCAAAAACACGAAGGACAACTAAATTTCATACATGCTGTTTTGCATCTTGCTTTTATCACTTAACTATATATCTTGGAGATCTTTCAATGTCATACTGAATTAATTTTAATTCTGTCCTTTTGCTTGTCAAGAATACTTTTTACTTGCTTTCATCATCATTCAGTCTAGCACACAAGGCACCCAGCAGCCCCTAAGAGCTACCTATGACAACTGATGGTGCCTCCATGTCACAAACCAAAGACCATACAGACAACCCTTGAATAAAATGCAGGAGTTTAGTGGACTCTGCCAGTCAAAAACCCACATATAACTTCTATCTCTCCAAGAACTTTACCTAACTACTTAACTACTACTAATAAGCCTACTAATAGCCTACTGTTAGGTAGGCTACTTAACTGCTTAGTGAGGTATATCATGAATGCATAAATTGAAAATTTTCCAATATATTTATCGAAAAAAATCCACATATAAAGTGGACCTGTGCAGTTCAAACCCGAATTGTTCAAGGGTCAACTACATATCTTTTCTCTCCTCGTCATTATTTTGCTCTTTCTCCAACTTGCCCAATTCTCCTTCTTCTGCCTGTTCCTCTCCCTTTGTACCCACCCTAACCCTGATAACTGGACCTAGAAACATCATTGATATTGCTTAGTCATGGCTGGCAGTATTCATGCTTAAAAAAGGTGCAGACCCCTGATAGAGAGTAAAAGAGATAAACAATAATTTTCATGGGAACTTCTAATTAACAAGAGTGCCTTAAATTGAGGAGGTTTTGTTTGAAGTTATTTTTCCTTTGTAACTTATGTTACTTTGGTACATTGGCTTATGAAAAGGGCGAGGTTCAGCACCATTTTCTACAAGCAGGGAAACAAGAACATACACAGGTCTAACACTTAAATAATACCTGACAGAATGACAGAGTTCATTCTAAAACAAGATAATTGGAAACAAAGCTTAAGAACTACAGAAAATGAGCCTTGTTAGTATAGTGGTAGAAAGAAAAAGGCAGAAAATGAACATTTTGCCTTCAAAGTACACACTTTAATTAACCTATCATTTATTTTTACTTAAAAATAAGTAGCTCCTAATACCGCGTGTTCTCACTTATTTGTGAAAGCTAATAAAAATAAATAAGTAAATATACAAATGAACGGTGGGGGGGGGAAGAAGACACAACAATTCCTTGATTTTGTTAAGTGAACAGATACGATGATGGGGGGAGGGAGGAAAAGGAGGAATTGGTAAAGGGACATGAAAATCAACTATATTGTAAAATATACTGATAAATTAAAAGAAAAAAGAAAAGAAAATTAAAAAATAAAAAATAAAAATAAGTAGCTCCAATGTGAATATACATCTCAGAAATGTTTTAAGGACATTCACAGTTAAAAAGGAGAATAGAGGGCCGGCCCGTGGCTCACTCGGGAGAGTGCGGTGCTGATAACACGAAAGCCATGGGTTCAGATCCTTTAAAAAAAAGAATACAGTTCCCTCTCCCCACTTTTATTTTCCAGCCCTCAAACTCAAAGCTATCCTCCTCCCCCAAAAAGTACTTTTTACAATTTTAAGGTTTTTTTAAGTAATAAAAATAAGAGGAAAATGTTAGCAAATAAAAAATGTGTTTAGACCGAGAAGATGTTTTCTGCTGATCAAAGAATTGGTAGGGAATATGAAATTAAGGAAGTTAGATAACTACATTCTCAAGTAGTTAACAGGTGGTAACTCACACAATATGGAGCTTTGACTTCCCTTCTGGATTCCTGTCATGCCAGGGGTACAACTTCAAGGGTTACTGTATTATAACATCCCAAGTTCAGAGAGGTCTAGAGTTAAAACCTTCAACATTATAGATATCTTAAAAAGTGGTACTCCATGGGCCGGCCCGGTGGCACACTGGATAGTGCACTGCTTGGGAAGCGCGGCGGCGCTCCCGCCCGAGGGTTCGGATCCCACATACAGACCGGTTCCCGCTCACTGGCTGAGCGAGGCGCGGGAGCAACACCGAGGGTTGCGATCCCGTTGCCGGTCCCCGGTCCGGTACGGGGGCAACACTGAGGGTTGCAATCCGTTGCCGGACACGGAAAAAGACAAAAAAAGACCCAAAAAAAAAGTGGTACTCCATGTACCTAATACATTAGTTAAAACAAAAGAAACTGTAAAATGAAATCCAATATATTGATCCCAATCTCCTTACCTGCTTCTTAAAGAGCATAGAGGCTACCAGGTCCTGGTGCTAAACACTTGCTAAGAAGTAGAAATACCCTTATACAAGGT